TTGGCGGCTCAGGATGTTTGGACTGAACTCCGAGCCCGAGTGTGAGTGGGACCTCCCTAAACCCGAAGCATTGTACCCCGGTTTCGGGTTTTGGGTTTTGGGTTTAGGGTTTAGGGTTTAGGATTTAGGACTTAAGGGGGTTTAGGGTTTAGGGTTATAAGGGAGTAAGATTTATATAGGGAAGTTTAACGTTTGTTGAGTGAGGGTCTAGACTGCTTTCGAGGAAGGGAACCGCCGACTACTGCCAGTACCACCATGGCTCTGCGAGGGCACCCTGTTCCGCAGCTCTTGTGGCGCCTTTGCAAGTTCTGATTTCGGAGCCCGAATAGTATAGGGGCCTCAATATAATTACCAAGAATATTGTCGGGGGGGGGGGTCCCTTATTATGATGATAGTAGAATATACCCCCCAAACCCTTATTCTAAGTTATTAAGGTCCCTACATCAGTTGCCTATATGAGCGAGCCCTTTGGGTTCCTTCCTTTGCAATTATAGTGCAATAGACCCCCCAAACCCGATTCTTATTATTGAGGCCCCTATCTTCGGGCCCTTGTAAGTTGTTTGTGGATACGGATCTTAAACTAAGGCGCTGCCAACTGTTACTGCAAGAATCCTTATACTGCCAGATCGACACGCAAGCAGCAATAGTATCAGCAGGTTCGCTGCGGTCATCCTATGAACAACCCGAACTCGAAACCTTTCCGCTGATGTTATCGGAGCCGATAGCTGGGAGCGGTTGACACCTGTGGCCAAGGTTGTGCTCTGCAGCGAAATTAATGTTGTCCTCAGGTATGGTGCTTTGGTTTAGTGTTTGAGTGGCGGCCAGTAGAAGAAGCAGATGATGCTTGACGTGGGTGTTGGTCAACAGTGTTGCAGTGGAGACGGCTCATGAGAGCAGGCCAGCAAGACCATGTTTGCTGCACCACTAGCCCCTCAATCCGGAAGCCCAACCCAGTAGGAGCCACAAACCATAAACGCAGACACGTGTTGCGAGCTTTGAAGAAAAAGATGAGAGTGCAGCCGGCTCCATCAACCCCAAAGAAAAAGTCATAAAGCCGACAGTTCCCGCAATGTCCGTACACAGGTGGGCCCGGCTAGGCACGCCTAGACGAGCTATCCTGCATTGCACCCTGCTGAGTTTGGCCAACCTTCTTTTGCAGTTCTACATTGAACCCTAAGCCCGAAACTCCTAAGCCCCTAAACCCTAATTGATCAGGTAATAAAGGACAAGGAGAGTTCTGTCCGAATGCTCTTCAAGAAGCACTGGAAGAAAGCAGGCCTTGTACCAGTTTGGGGCTTGCAAGGTTTGGGCTTGGTTCAGTTCAGTGTTGAGGGTGTAAGGTTCAGGGCTGGGGTTTGGAGGTTTAGGTTCAGGGTGGGATCATGGTCATAGGAGTGGTTTAGTAGAGGTTGACGCACAGGGATCATGTGAGGAGGTCCCAAGCGTTGCCCTCTTCCACACATGTAAAGGGTTTGATGTCACACTGATAGGATTTCCGCTGGTTTTGCAGGGTTGTGTAAGGGATTCGCAAAGCTTCGCAAATGATATAGGGTGTAGCCAGAACGAGTAGAACTGAGCATCTGGGTGTTTTGCGGTTATACAGTGATCTTGGTATCTTCCCAAACACCCGACAATCCAAGACCGTAGTCTCAAAAGCCTGAATAGCAGGCGTCCCTGAAACGCTCATCTGGACCCATATCATTGCCATTCCCAGAGACTCCAATACCCCTCAATTAAGGAATATACTTTTAAATTATAGTAGGATCCCTAGTGTGATTTATAGTAGGATCCCTAGTGTGATTGAAGGTATATTCCTTAATTAGGGTGCATTGGAGTCCCTTGGTTAAGGACGCCGCCAACCTGAACTGAAGAGCACCTTGAAGCAGGGATGGGGCTGTTCTCTGCTCATGGGTAGTTTTCTAAATTAGGGTCCCTTTAGGGGTCCTTTTTATAAGGGCCCCGTACTAAATTGGGGACCTAAAAAGCGACCCTAATTTAGAGCACTACCCTCATGTTCGGTTCCCTGAAATCGTTGGGAGCCCCTAATTCAACATCGGTTTCTCATGTTCGCCCATGCTCAAAGATGCATTCTCTCGAAGTTGGAGCCTGCCAGATCCTACACCATTTGAAAATTCAACCTTTTCGGTTTTTGCGCCTGGGCCTCTGGTCAGAAACCACGGTATGAGATTCTGGCATATTATATATATATATATATATCGCAGAAATTGTAGTGCATCTTAGTATAGTATAGCATACTACAGTATAAATTCAGTATAATCTAGTATACGTGGTATAGTATAGTACAGTATAGTATAGTACATGATGTGTTTAGGGTTTAGGGTGGCTTAGCTGCTTAGCTGCCTTACCGCAGCCATTTCCCCTCTCCATCCCAAAAGCCTCACCCTGCCGCACCTCGTCTCCGCGGCGCCGACTTTGTGCCTTGACCTCTTTTGAAGGAGTTGGGTTTAGGGTTTCTATACATCCTAACACATGAGCCCGAAACCCACGCCTGAACCGTCAACCGTACAACCTAAACCCCTCAAGCCCTAAAGCCCCACATAAACTCTCAACCTACACCATAATAAACCCTAAACCTCAAACCTCAAATGGGTAGATCTCTAGATTAGGGTCCCCTTGTAGGTCCTAAATATAGTACATCACCCTTACAAACAAGGACCCCCATAGGGTCCCGTTGCAGGTCCTAAATACAGTATGGCACCCTCATAAAAACGAACATCATAAGCCCTCATTTAGAGAACTACCCAAACGCTTAAACCTTAAACCCTGAACCCTAAACCCTAAATGCTAAAACCCTGAACCCTAAACTCTAAACCTTAAACCCTAAACCCTAAACCTTAAAGCAGAGGCCCATGTCGGGTCGAGGCGCCGGCTATGATCATCAGTCCCTGCCCGGAGCCGTGGAGGAACGGGTAGTGCCGGTTTAGGGTTTTAGGTTTAGGGTTTTAGGGTTTAGAGTTTAGGAATCTTTGAGGTTTAGGGTTTCAGGGTTTAGGGTTTAGGGTTTAGGAAACTTGGGGGTGTAGGGTTTAGGGTTCAGGAAGGTTCAGGGTTTTAGGGTTTAGGGTTCAGGGTTTGCTTAGGGTT